AGAGGAGATGGGTAAAAATGCCGGTTCGGTGAAAATTCCCCCTTTCTCCATTAGTGGCAGCTCATTCAGCTCTTATCTTTATATTCCAGTAAGTTATTTTGCTCTCACTGTTTTAACAAAAAGAAAAAGAAAAAGAAAACCAACAACATAAAAATCCTTGCATACCTTGTTTGATTGGAGAATTTTAATGTTTTTCATTTATCATTGTAAAACCAAGGACAATTTTATAACTTTTTTGTACGTAGCTGTTACATGTAGTGCAATCTGTCTTTAAGTAGGGATAAATTACTCTTAAAGAAAAAAAGGAATCCTAGATAGTTTTCCCTTCAAGTCAAGCGTCTTGTTGTTTAAATAAACTTCTTGTTTAAAATGAAAAAAAAAAAAAAACTAGAAGGGAAAGATGTTGTCCAAATCAATGGAACTTCAGAGACATTCTATTAGTAGCAAATACCCCTTCCCTAAACAACAATAATGAAGTATTCTATATGCTAACGACATAGCTTAAAAAAAAAAAAAAGGGTAAAGCAAAATCCTGCATTTTTATAAAACTTGATTAAGAATATAGTATTTCAAACTGCAGCGCCACCAGAAGGACACAGTTATAAAAAATGCACGCTCTTTGGGACCAACAGCAGTTGGCCTAGTGGCTATGTTGCTGGACGCCCATGTAGTCGACCACGGATCGAGTCCCGGATCTGACTCACACCGGGTGCATGCGGGTGCCTGCCCAAGATCCCAAGAGGAGAATGGAGTAGGGACTCTGGCATGGCCATCCCCCCTGGAGGGGGATTTCTCACTTTCTGTCTCTCTGTCTTTCTGGTGAGCGCATGTGCCTGATGGCAAAAACCTCTCAAAAAAGTAAATTGAAAAAAATGCACACACTTCACTTGGCATCTTCAGCTTTCTGTGCCCGGTCTGTTTTGGCATCTCCATTTTCTGCAGGGTCATTCCCACACTTGTCAGCATCAGCTTTTCACTTTTTTCCTTTGGGTACCTTCTCTCCCTTCTTTGCAGGGGCCTTTTAAGGCTTGGGTTCAGGCTTTGGAGAAGCAGGTTTCACAGACAACCTTGCAGATCTTCTCTGTGGGTCATCCTTCATCTTGGCTTTATCTCCTTTACCATCCCCTTCAGCCTTTCTCTTGGGCATGGTGGTGACAATGGCAGGACATAGGCCCTGGATATGGGGGACACAGTGGCTTTCAGGCATTGACTGGTCAGGGGTCATTCTCACCTCTTCTTCACTTCATTCTCTCTTTATACTCATCAGGAGTCAATCAGAGGGGCCCCACCCTAATCACTTCACTCCCAAAGGTCTGACTTTTTGACACTGAAGGTATTCAGTCCCTTCTTAATACTTTTTCAAAAGAATTATTTAATTTTATTTATTATTATTATTTTGAAATTTGACCAGAGAGATACAAAAAAAGAGAGAAAGTGAGAAAGCAAGCCACCAGGTCTGGGATTCAAACCATGGTCAGCCATGTGGGAGTCTAGTGCCTTAAACACCATGCCACTTGCTGGCCCCTCTTCTTAATACTTTCACAAGCAAATCTCAACACATACATTTTGGAGAGACACAAACCATAATATAGGGGAGATAATAATCATAAATTGTTACAAAGGACATTTAAGAATGAGGACAAGGTATTATTGTAAATTCAAATAATAAGGTTTAATTTCCTAACAGTGGTGGTTAGCAAGTCCAGTGAATATGAAGACACAAAACAGTATCCGACAAAAGTAGAGTCGGGTCCAAGTTGCAAGTTCTACTCTTAACCTAGAGCTATCAGTGGGTATTTCTTACTTTGGAGACTTTTTTCTTGTTGACAAGTCAAATCCAATTTGCATGAGGTAACGTTTGATGATAGAATCTTTGATACAATAAATATTCAGGAGCCAAGAGATGGTGTGGCCATCAAGGTGCTGGATCCCACATGGCCAACTCCATGATTCAAGTTCTGAACCTGGCAGCTAGAAAAACATGATGGGCCTATGTGCATTCATGCCCCAAATCCCCAGAGGTGAATGGAGGAGAAGCAGGGGTGGCCATGCCACCCAGGAGGCG